AACAGAAATTGTTCCACTTGCAAATATCATACACAGGTACAAGTGGCACTTGCTCATGCGTCATTATCCTGGATAGTATGTGGTGAAACGTGTTTCCCAGCTCAGGGTATTCAAGTTTTATTCCCTCTTTTCTTTTAGTGCCTTTTAATAACTCATCAATGAACATAAACTCAACTGGTTTTCCGCTTTAACCAAATAACTGTTTTTCAGTTACAGCAAGATACAGAAACTTTGTAATTAATTCTGCCCGTGCAATCATTTGCAAGCTGCAGGACTAAACCCTGAAGTTTCCAGGCTCCAGGGCTCAGCTTGGCCTTCGCCATACAGACTCCATAAGCACTCGGAAATGGAACAACCAGTTACCTGTCCTTACAGACACCTTCCAGAATCACAGTGCTAGGCAGGAGTGTTTCATTCTAAAGCAGCTTACCTAGACCCGCAGTAATGATCAAACCTGTTCTTCCAGGAGGACAGCGCAGAGATTCCCAGACTTTGGTTTCGCCAGCAGGTGTTGCTTCTGCTTCAAACTAAACATGGAGGAAGAGACAGAGATGTCAGGAGGCCAAAGCAAAGCTAAGATTTGTCAAGCGATTGCTTGGTTTTATTTTGTCTTAAAGCACATCAACTTTGCAGTGTTTTTAAGCACCTCCAATCCACGACAAGAACATTTACTTGAGGAACCCAGCTGTCCTGAGCGCTGCACTGAGGCAGGGCCCTCCTGACTGGCTGTGGGGGGTTGGCACTTCTTACAACAGAAGCAGAACTGGAGGTCAGCCAGCTTTTGTCAGTGTCAAAAAGAAGAAGTGTTTGACATTTCAGCTCAAATGTAACTTATTTCTAGGTAAAACAAAGGCTTAGAAGACCAAGCTGTAAAAGAACTCACCTCTCAGTTGCTGTTTTCTTTCCGGTCATTATTGCCAAGAGGCAGGCACTCGTTTCTAAAGGAGAGAGTGCCCTAAACCAAGCTGAAATACAGCAATGGTGCCTATATTCACAATTCTGTGTAATTCTACCTCTTGTCATTCTCCAGTTTTCTTAGAAATCAGCTTCTTCCCTGACATTCGGGTACTACAAGGCACAATCAATACAAATTACTTTAGAAAGGCAATGAAAATCAATAAGAGAAAGATAATCTTGTATTTCTCTGCTCAAATTCTATTTTTTTAGTCTTACACCATAATAAAGATAAATCTATAAGGACTTCACCTATCTAAAGGACGTAAAAAACGAAGGGTTGCAAGCTTTTCATATGGGTAATTCAAAGTTTATTTTAAAATCATGTATCCTTGTGTTTGTATCTTAACCTCCATGGGATAAAATCAGAGCTTGCTCATTTTATCTGGGGGTCCTGAGAAAAAGTTTCAGGTAAACTGTGATCATTTTTAGTGTTTATGTTATGTAAATGTTCCTAATTTTTCATACTGAGATAGACACCATTGTTATTCACTGGAATAAATTCTAGCCTTTGCAGTGTAAGCAATGATTGTCTCATATTTAATTTAACCAATGTCATTTTCACATTTTCTCACATTTTCTTCTCCAGATCCCCACAGTACCCATTAATGAGAAGGATAGGATGGCAGAGAATGATGAGACCCAAATTATGAACATAATGTGAGCAAATGTACCCCGCCCTGCCATGAGATGCTCTTAAATAAACTCTACTCAAGTTAGTAATTTCATTGAGGAATACTGAAACTCAAAGAATTGTAGGAGTTTGTTGTCCATGATTCATGCATTCTGTTATTGCATAGTTTTGCAATACGGGGCAGCCACACAGCTCATTTTGGACATGATTCCAGTAGGCTCATTGTCTACTTTTTATGAGGTTCATGCATCTCTTGAGTGTTATTTAATTCATCCAATAATTACATTTTTTTGTTCAAGTGGTTATGAATAAGAACATATAATTGTTTTGTTTTTAAACCAAATGTCTTTGCTTCTACAAATTCAAGTCTTAAAAGAAAGAAAACAGATCATAGGCATAAGGAAATTAACAGTATTTTAATGAGAAAAAAAAAAAGCATTTAAAAATCATACAGTAAATCCATGCAAAATAGTTCTTTTGGATACTTAAAAAACATTAATCATCTATAGATTGACTATTAACTAACTTTTTAATGCATAAAGATACAGGGCTGGCTACATCAATAACTCCTTGTAAAGACAAAAAGTTACCCCAGTTTTACAACAAGGTATTGTGCCTCTGAAGCAATTCCCTGTAAGGAAAATAAATACATCAGGGAAAGAATTGTGTGTAGAGAAGTAACTCGTGAAGCCCATAGTTTAAGAAATTAGTGATTAGACTGTAGACTTTGAATTAGCCATCTCTGTTCTCCACCATTATCAGTAAACACTGCAGGATAAATCTAGGCAGTCTGCTTACAGCCACCTCTAACTACAGCGATAGCTATAGAAACTAAATATATTTTTAGTCAAAATGAGTAACAGATTATTTTATCACGCACAAAAGCAAGACAACTGCATCCCACATGACTCCAACCCTCTCCAGCTGACACTGTCTGAGATTTTTACAGTGTTACAGCTCCCCAGTATTTACACATTGTCCTTCTGCAATCAACAGAAGCAAGGATGAGCTGCTGGGACTTCGAGGGGATTCTGTTCCTTTTCCCCATCTCTAGATGTGCTGCCAGGCCCCATGGTAGCTACACTGCAGGAATAGTGAAATTCCTCCACATAGGGGTGGCTTCACTTGACACAATCTGTTGATGCTACCAGGATTACCTCCATGACTAAACATCCCACACAGCTGTGTTGGTGTTAGGGTTTGGGGGGAGTTCTGAAAAGCATGCACATGGCAGAGGCCAATGTTTTGACATATCTCTGACAGTTGTGCACATGGGAATTCCCAGGAATGTACTTCTTTGTGGGAATACTGCAGTAAATTTACCTATCAAGGAGCAGTTTGAGGAAGGATTAATGACCTGGAAAGCCAGTCTGGGGAATTATTTTTGCTCCTACGAGATAATATTTAAAGAAATCTTCCAATTGCTGTGGAGAACTCAGATTAACAGAAGGTCGTGCCATTCACAAAGAGAAAAGAGAAAAAAAAAAAAGGATTAATAGGAGAGTTATATTGGCAGGAATGAGACATCACACTTACTCAGGCAGCAGAAGGAAATCTGTACATGGAGTTAAAAGAAAGTGCTTATATATTTTTGTCAAGAGCCAGAGGAATTTTCTTAGCAGCTCCTTGTTTTCTGGGCTGGAAGAGAAGCAGCAAAGGAAGCAGTGCAGGCAAGAGGAGCCCAGATAAGGTCTTACAGTGCTGAGAAGGGGAAGAGGCCATCTCTTACTGCAACGAATGACACAGCAGCAGAAGCAGAGAAAGAACAGTGACCAGTGTATGAATAGAGGAATGAATGGAGAAAGAAAGGATGGCACCAAAGGTGCCTGATGAGTTATAATGAGCAATTCTACCTGGCATGGTGCCCTTAGCAGGGAGAGAAGTGAGGGGGCAGGAACAGAAAATTGCTTAACTTGGTCATGTGAAGTTTAAATGGCCAGCAAACAACTCCAGAACGTACAAGGAAGTTCTTTAAAATGCAGCTTTGGATGGAAGGAGAAAACCAGTTCAGGAGCAGAGCAGTAAACTGCCTTCTTTCCCATGCCACAGCGGTATTCAGATGACATTTCAGGTATAACTGGAAGGGGCGAATTGAAACCACAGCCAAATGCAAACCGTTACTCTCAAGAAAATGCGATGCTCACAATACAAGTTGTTAAAAATGGTAATAAATAAGATTAATAATTAAAGCTTTAGGCAGCCCGACACATGCCATCCTGTTTGAGGGTTAAGATACTGCTGACGTGGTAGCAACTTTTCACTTCTTTCACTTTATTTTTTTTTTAAATCATGAGAACACTTCCTATGCGATAGAAGCCTCTGAGAACCTGACATGTGAGTGAGTGGTAGAAATCTCCACAGAAAGTGAATTGGCCAACAGGACCTTACACAGGCAGCTACCAAAGGAAGACAAAGGAGTGTGTTTATTTTTAGTTGGTGATAAAGAACAGTTCTGTGCACCAGCATGCCCTGCTGGTTTCTGTGAGACACAGCTGAAAAGCCTCATTTAAATATCCTGTAGGATTGAAGCAAATGAGCTATTTGGAAAGACAGAAAGAAGAAAATGACAACTGAAACTATTCTGGAATGGAGCAAAATAGCAAATATTTTTAATTGCAAATTACTTTCGAACTCAAAGAGGAAAGAATTGTGATGTCTGCTAGATACCTTGCATTATGAATAAATATACCTGAGTCTCTAAAGGATTGAATAAGCTAACATGAATCTCCTACGAGCCCTCCAGGCAAAGAGTGGGCCTGTTGGGTCATGGTTTCATGCCATCAAAGAGATAGATTTCATCTTCAGATGTTGTTGTGCTCGCTTGGTAAGAATTCAGCTTATTAAGAGGTGTGAAATAAGATACAGGATAAAAATACTACCAGAGAATATTTTTTAAAAAAGATTTAAGGCTAAAAGGCAAAGTAAACATGGAAATAACATTTGGCAAACACATTCTGAGAACAAAACTCGGAGTTTATTTACTGGAATAGATTGCAGGGTAACTGGGTGGGTGCTCAGCATTCTGACCCTGGAAGCAGCCAGTCAGGCAACACCCCATGCTGCACATGTGGAATGCACAGCTTTTGGCATGGGAGCTCAAACATTAGATCTGGCCCATAAATCTGAGTACAGTTTTCTGTGTTCAAGAATCTTATTTTATCTGGATTAAAGTCCTCTTCCCCTTTGGCATCAGGAGATACTTGGGGCTGTTAAAACAAAAATTGCAAAATACTGCCCTGAAATACAAATGGATTTGTTCTGCCAAGCACACAAATTTTATCCTACAGCTTAGAAATTAAAATAAATAAATAAATAAATAAAAAGGAAGAAGAAAAGAAAGGAGGATGGAAGGAAAAGAAACAAGGAAAGAAAGAGAGCAGGGAGAGAAGGAGGGAGGAAGCAAATGGTATTTGTTTATTTATTTTTAATTGAACTTTAATTCTAAATTCTTCTTCATTTTGTCTTACAGAAAAAGACCACACAAAGGTTTTGTACCTAAAGCCCCAAGAAACCTTAGTTTTTTCCTTAAGTCGTGTTCAAATTCTGCTACAATAAAGAGGAATGAAAAATACATATCTTGTGGTCGGTGACCACTGACCACACAACGCCTGAACCAGTGCAGCTCTTGTGGGTTTCTACTGTTTGGCTCCAGTTACCTTCTAACTCTTCTCCTTTCAATATACATTCCTCCTTTTCTAGAAATATCATCTCTCTTGTTGCAAAAGGTGTAATTGTGAATAAAACCAGCTGTGAGCTTGACTTCAACACATCTTTGCAGTTGGCTATTTTGATTGTACTCTGGTGTAAACACTTCCACGCACATGCAAGAAAGAAAAGTAAGATCCTTTAGAAGACAGAAAAAACAGAGTATCCACTCAGTACTTCATAACCCTTTTATTTGGGGAGATATGGAAACAGTCACCACAAACTGAAAACGTACCACGAGCTCTTCTAGACAACAGCTCTGCAGCTTCCAGCCTTCAGCAGCACCCAGATTATTTGTGAGGAAGGAGCATCTCCTAGGATTTCATTAGACATATGTCCATCACTTGTACTCAAGTCATTACTTCATCTGAATTGCAATCTTCCCTCATTTTTCCCTGTACATTTGTTCTTTGCCTCGCTATTAGAAGTACACCTTCCTACAGCTTTGGTACCTGGAGGCCTCTCAGGCCAAGAGGTTATGTTGCAAACTGATGTGGGAAGAAAACATGAAATAAGTTTTGGATCTACAAAGCAGCGTGCAGTTGTTTCTGAACAAAACAAAGTGGCTGAAAACATGGTGAGGTGAACCAGTTTAAAGTAGGTGTTGTGGTCACAGACTTCAGCATTTAATGAGAGACTGAGGTTCTGATTTATATCCCCAACCATCAGCTCATCTGAACACTGACAAAGCCAGTCTGTCAGCGGTGTATTGACAAAAATGCAAAGCCTATGTCCACACACTTCTCTTGGCAGACACATATATTGCAGTATCTATAATGATCTCTGTATTATTCAGTTTATGCCTGTTTTCCCTTTGTGCTTCCTTGCCTCCATCTCGACCCAAAACGACTGGGCAGGACCTACTGGGGGCCCATGAGTTACACTGAGAGAAGAAGAAATGTGCTGATTTGTGCTCTTTTACATCTCTCACCTCACTGATCCTGAGTTCTGGAACCTGAGTCTCGGGACGTCCTTTTGGCTGCAAAGCTGTCACATTCACTTACAGCTCAGCTGTCAGACAAACAAGCCAGAGCCCATTGTAAAGGACAGCTAAATTCTGCCTTCAAACCATACATAAACTGCTTTTTTTTTATAGAAAACAAAACTTGCAAAAAGTGAGACTTGCCCAGTGAAAGATCCAACTACCAAAATAATTTGCTGGATATCTTTGATGTTCATTTCCTTCGGTTGTAAGCATTTGGTGATCCATCATCTGCAGACAAACGTCGTGCTGAAAACTTTTGCTGAAATTAGGAGTATGAATAAAAGAACTAGAGGCACACGACTTGCACATATGCCCTGTGCAGACTTCCCTATTTCCAAGCCCTATCAAATGAAACAACTCAATCCTCTCTGATTTTAAGGTTTCACAAACCCTACATTGAAAAGGAATCACAAAGGAAATCTTATTTTACTACCACTCCTACTACCAACAAATTACAAGACAAGTCTTAGATGAAATTGTACTCATTGGTGATAAAATACTTCAACTGCTTTTGATTTAATTGCCCAGGAAACCAGCCACGGCTTGCAGTGATGGTTTAATGGGAACCCATCTTTCAGTCTGCTAAGCAAGCTTCAAGATATCTGTTCACCCTGCTTCTCTGCAGGCCACTGAATACTGCTTTTATGGATTTTTCTGATGAAAGCCACTTATCTCAGGAAGGAATTGAAATGGTTGTCTTACCTGACATGTGATGAAATGAATTTTACAGTAATATTTATTGTTTCCCTATATGAAGACTGAAGCCCTTTGGCCTCATTTAAGACATATAACAAAACTAATACCTACATATCAGCTCCATTGGTAATTTTTGCTGAAAATTCTTAGAGATTTTTTGCAGAAAAGGTCTCAAATGTGAATGGATTTGCAAAACCAGATGGAAAGAGTAACAAAGACTGGGCTACAACAGCATTTGCTTTCTGGTGCCCTCCATCTTGTGCTTTACTTTCCCCTGTCCCCCTATCCATGTTGACTAAAAGTTTGCACTAGAAACTGCATTTTCTAAAGGCTGTAGGTGATATTCTCATCTAATCCGGGACGACCTTTGGCTTCCTGGCACATGGACACAACTTGGGCAAAGATCGCCTCTGCTGATCCAAACAAACCCAACTGATGTTAGGAAACACTCAGTGTTTGTACTTGCTTTATTCAGGCTTTTTGGATACAGCTTTATTCTTGGGTAATTTTTCTTCAGTTAGAAGTACCGTGAGTGTTACTAACAGAGATTTTTTTAAATGATTGACAAAGCTAGAAGTTAAAGTACACAGCGGTGTCTAAAATCTGCTCTAGCACTCCAGCTAATACAGTGCTTGACAAAACACATTTTGTATTCCAAAAACATATTTGGAAGAAATATTTTTTGCATAAAATCTAAAGTAAAAGCACAGCTACTTTACTTGAGGAAAATGAGAAAGTTAGATATAAAAATGTCACTGAATCTCTAAATTCGTCTTTCAGTATTAGCGCACAGTGAGCGAATGCAGATCACTCTGTCCTTCCTGCTAACGTTGTGAATACAGTAACTCTTTATTAAAGTTCAAGAAGATGCAGAGCCCTGAACTGCAGGCTGAGCAATTCCCAGCATTGTGATCACTCTTCAGAGTATTGAGAACACGGAAGACAGGGCCACAAAATGATCTGAAGGCTGCAGAACACCTCCTGTGAAGAAAGGCTGAGGGAATTGGACTTGTTCATCCCAGAGAAGTGTCTGGGGAGACCATATTGTGACCTTCCAGTACTTGAAGGCAGCTTATGAGCAGGAGTGGGACTGATTTTTACATGGTCTGATAGTGATAGGACAAAGGGGAATGGCTTTAAACTGAAAAACTGTGGTTAGATTTTAGGAAGAAATTCTTCACTCAGGGGGTAGTAACACACTGGAACAGGTTGTCCACAGGGGCTGTGGATGCCCCATCCCTGGAGGCATTCAAGGCCAGGTTGGATGGGCCCTGGGCAGCCTGGTCTGGTGTTGGCAATACTGCCCATGGCAGGGGGTTGGAATTAGATGACCTTTAAGGTCCCTCCAACCTAAGCCATTCTGTATTCTACGTTTCAATGATAAGACAGCAAAATTGAAGAAAGTAATTGGGAGCACGAAATCTGGAGAGCATTTGTAGCGTTATTCTCAAGTCTCTTCGTGGCTTTAGGGAAGTCAGCTGGCTTCTGGATGTCTGTCTGCACTATGGGCCAAATATTTTTGGTAATACTTGCAGATTTCAAGTGAAGAATTACACTAGTGCTGTAAAAAGTTATTCCAGAATTCTATTTTTGAAGCTACGATTCTGTTTGTGTGCCAAAATGCAATTTGTAACTGAGGAGCCAGGAGCCCTCATCCATCAGTTTTCAGAGGCTGTGCTTACACTGCCTAGCTTGCTTCTGCCACAGTCTCATTCCTCAGGTCCAGTTCTCCAATGAGGCACCCGCTGTGTGCTGCTGCGTGCTCTGGCTGTAGCCTGCTCAGACAGCCAGCTTCCTGCCAGGGGCATCCTGGCACAGGGTGGGCATCAAAACTCAGACTTTGCCCCTCAAGCAACCAGGGCACAAGTTGCTGGAAGCGTTGGCTGTGAGTGCTCCAGCCCGCATTCAGGAAGTACTGAAATCAACAGGATTCCTTTAGGTTCAGCTTTCAGGTATAGTATGAGCTATGCCACTTTATCTGTGTACAAACTTTACGTCTGAACAACTGGAAAACCACTTTTGCATTATGTGTGTCAAAAATCTGCAAAAAATAGAAGTATTCTGTACCGATTCTGATGTTTCACCTTACTTGAAAGCCGCTTTCAATAACGTACTGGGAACATCACTGCAAAGTCAAACAAAGGCACAGCAGCCTGAGTCAGAAGCACTGCACAGTGTCTGGTCAACAGAATTCCTTCAGACAGGGCTGTAAGTAGTGGGCAGAAATACGTCCCAAACTGCGCTATCAGAATAACTCCTGTCTCTTACAATTACCTCTATGTGGAGATGTCTGCCAAAAACTTCCCAGTGGACATATGGGCTCAGCAGGTAGGAACTGGCTGAAAGTGCTCTTCTTGCACTGACGTCAGTGGGAGAAGCATGACTGAAACCAGCTCCCATGAAATTAAACGTTACCTGGCCACTGCCTCTCTTTCAGCCTGGCCCAGCTCTCTCCACAGCTTCCTGAGAAGTCCTCACGCTTTTTCTTCCAAATAGGAAGAGCCTTTACAGTTAATTAGAAGATAACACCAGTCAGCTTCTGCTAATTATTTGTATTTTTGCTTAACGCTTATAAATCTCCTTGTTCAGGTATTATTACAAGCTAATATTTGCTTGTAAGATGCATTAGTCATTACAATTAGCAAGTAGAAATAGATTAGTCATGCGCAAACAATCTCATAAATGAAGTCTTTATGCCCCCCTTGGGGATGGAAAGGAAGGGAATTTGAGACCTTGATGATTACCAAGGGAAACCTGAGTTGTCTCTTCTATTCACATCATTGTTTCAGGATTTTCTGTGGGGTGAGTAGAGTGGATGCAGGCCTTCAAAGCCCAGCAGTGCTGCTGGAAGCTGTGATGGGGAATTAATGAAAGCCATCGGGTGACACCTTTTCCAAGGACACTAGTCAGCACTTCTGAAATAAATCTTTTTTTTTTCTTTCAAAAATCTTTTCAGTTAACACATCTGCTTTCCTGTGCCTGGAAGAAACCTGTGCAGCAGCAAACTGGAACATTTAATGAAATCTAGGGTTTATGTCACCCTGAGAAAGGGAGATTGAAGACACCAAAACCTGAAGCAACACAGACAGGGAGGGCACCAAAGGCAGTGCAGGTGTGTGACCAGAGGTATGCAGCTGACCGAATATCTTTCCACCCACAGCAATCCATGCTGCAGCCAGGAGCTTCCACAAGTACCTCCCGAGGCAATGAACCCATTGGAAATGCTGGTCCCCATATCTACTTACATGCAGCACGGAAGGAATGGGTCTGTAGAAGCTGCTGCTTTTTGCTCCATTCTGCACTGGCTTTTCGTTACATCACTGCTTCCCGTTCCTTTCTGACTCAATTAGGTGCTCCCAAGAGCTCTCTTGTTTCTGCGTGCACAACATCTCCTAAAAAGTCATTTAAAAATAAGATTAAGTCAATGCATAAGACCATTTATAAATTAAAAAGCGGAGTCATTCCATTAAGTAAATTTAACAGCAGCGTTAATACAATACTTTCTTCGCTGATCACATCACTCTCCTGCATGCGGCACAGGTCAGTGAGCTCTCCTGACAGTGAGACATTGCACTCCTCTCCCACCCATGATTTTGCTCTTTGCTACCCTTCATTTGCTGTAATATTTACAACACACACACACACACAAAAATTAAAACAACAAATCACCAAAAACCAACAAGCAACTCACAGCCCCTTCCTCAAGAAAATGTTTTGTAAAGAATTTGCCAAGCCTCCCAAAAAGGTATCGGGAGCAGAGAGAAAAGGAATATGTGTTGCTGTGTTGAGGGTGATTACAGAAATAGGTCACATCTTGTATCTGAAAGAAATGGATCACCAGAATCCAGCCCCACCCCCAACGCATCCTGGTCTCCCTCTCGCCACCCCCATACGCAGTGCTTGAAGCATTCCAACATCCTTGCCAAATTCCCTCACAAATACTTTAATTCTTTACGTGCATGTCTCATTCCATCTGTTCCACATGCTCTTTATGCCATTTACATTCATTGGCAGAGGCTGTGAGATGACACCACACACTAAAAATTTGCTGTGTTTTCAAGCTGCTTGGGTAGACCAAGAGGGAAATGTGGAGCAGCCCGAGGTGTGCGGTTTCTCCTGCAGCCCTGGGTGAACACAGCCCCTGGGCAAAGTGCAGTGAGCATCACCAGCAGGTTTTCACATCAGAGGGGCTGTACCTGCCAAACGTGCTCCATTCTTCCTTTGAGCTCAGGAAGGGAAAAAAACAGGCTGTCCTCTGCAGGATTTATGGGGTGACTGCGGGTATGGAGGACTCAGTGCCCAAACAGGCAACAGAAAGGCAAATGCCGTGTGAAGGAGGAATAAAGGAAAGCAGTGCTTGGTGGGAAAGGCAGCGCTGAGCTGTGTGTATTGCTTGGGAAGCTAATGCTGTTGGTCTGATCCCCCATCATGGGAGCACACCACAAAAAGGGGCCCACAGACTCGGAGTCCTCAGTCTCTGCCTTTGGGAAGAACACAGTGTGTCCTGGGCTTGGAGTTACAGCCAGCACAGCTCCCAGCAGCTGTAACCTGTCACTGATCAATGGGGGCTGTAGCAGATGGCTGTTGGACACATTTAAGAACAGCTTCCAGGATAAGAATAGTAAAAAAATAATCTCTTCAGGTTTCAACACAGGGACATTCACAGAACCAAAACCCAATCCACTGTGTGTTTGGCCACATGCCTGAGACTCCCAGTACAAGCTATACAAAAACCTCAGTCTGTAACATTTCCTTTCTATTCCAAGTGCTAGACCCAAACCTTTTCCCTCACCTCCGTAAGAGCAGCTCAGACAAAGACATAAGGAATCTGCACTTAAAGGACACCTATTATTCAAGTGGAGATCCAGCTAAGAAGCACCACGAAGCCTGGAGCTCAGGCATGTGCTGCCCCATGGCACTGAGCTGCATCCCATTGCACACAGCTGCCCCAGCAGCAGGCTGAGCTGCAGGAAATCAGTGTAGCAAGCATTCATTTCCCAGACCATTCTGCAATCCAATCACTTTATCACTATTATCGAGACACTGTGAAAATACATATTATATTTTGTCTCAGGTCAGTCAAAAGTTCTAACCTTCCCTTTTCCCCAAGCAAGGCACGGCAGCTTGCTCACCTGGCAGGACAGACTTCTCAGTCTTTTCCTCCCCATTTTTTCACATTCCTTTCCTCATCTAATTCCTCCCATTTAGCTTGCGTGTTCTACCCAGCACCTTGTTATCTCCCACCCCATCTCTCTCTTTCCCATCTGTTATTACTACATTGGCTTTAATGTTTTCCCGCTCCCATTTGTTGCCAAGCTATAGTTTTCAACCGCTGTGAAAACATTTGATTCATACAGTTCATTGTTTCTCCTGCAAAAGAATCATCATCTAAAATAACCTGCATTTGCTGGAGTAAATGCAGAAAAGACTGACATTCCATGCTCGCTCTCACAGTTTGAAGCCTCGTAGGCTACTGCATAGCAAATGAGAAATAAGAAAGATAAACAAGTGCCACTGGAATGGGGAAGGAGCTCAGGATAGTCTTCTCAGCATGGTTCTGGATTTCTGGTGCAGGTATTCTCCTGCTGAGGAAGTTTAAGGGCTAGGCAGTGCCAAGTCAACACAGAATAGCATGTCTTGCATTCAGGACCACCTCACACCTTCCTGTTAATTAGCAGAGAAGAATCAAGAGCATGAGGTGCTGGCATCACAGGTAGTTGATTTGAACTAAACCTGAGAGCTGTCAGCGTAGATCACCCAACTGAAAAAAACCTGAGGGATACCATGAACTTAAGCTGTTGTATGGCTCTGTCTCAGGGGCACACTTCTCACTGGAGGGCGCCCACAGCCACATGCATGTTCACAACATGCTCTCATGGAGCACGGCAGTCACAGAAGACAACATGCTGCCGAACGGGCTCACAGCCCTCCAGTGGGAACACAGAGGAGAGCTGTGGCTATGAAGTTCTCCCTTCAGCAAGGCTGTGAACCTCAGACACTGAACGATGGCCTTCGTGGCCACCTTTGTTCAACCCAACCAAGAACATTCTTCTCGAGTTTGGAACCTAAGGTTTTTCCTCAAGAGAATAATTTCGTAAGATGCTGAGATAACGTCCCACTTAACCCAGCAACAAGGAAGTGGGGGACGTCTGCCTGAAGAGGTTCAAACCCGCATCTCCCATGAAAACTCCCAACTGCTAAATTACAAGGTGTTCCAGGTGAATTGGTTCCCCACCCATCCTTTGATGATAGTCCAGCATGCAGCACAGTGAAAGACACACGGAGCAGAAGAGAAGGAGAATTATTAAAACCACGATCGAGGCACTTATTTCACCTCTTTTCACCACTTACTGCAGTACCTAATGACACCGTGGTCAGCCCTTTGGAAAAGGATGCTGTTTGAACCACAGAATCCCTGTTCAGCCCTTTAGTGAATTTCATCATGTTATGTATCCTATTCACCCACAGGTTAATTTCCCTTTTAACTCTGTCAGTTCACCTTTTAGATTTTCTTCCCTTTTTTAGGTGCCAATTCTCTTTGCTATTTGCTGCATTATCTCCACATGAGAAAATTTCATCCTGCGCAAGTGCTGCTTGAGTAACAGTGGAGAGAAAGTAATCACATTGTAAGTCCATGGAGGTGTTCAAGCCAGGTTGGATGGGACCCTGGCAGCCTGATCTAGTATTAGATATGGAGGTTGGCAGCCCTGCATGTGGTTGGGATGTTGGGGCTTGGTGGCTCTTGAGGTTCTTTCCAACCCAAGCCATTCTATGATTCATTCAATGTACTCTCAGGAGGAAGAAAATTGTGAGGATAAGATGCAATAAATGATCAACCTCAGGAAAACCAACTGATAAGTCAGTCCTACTAGAGCCACTCCTCTAGATTTAAGCTGCTTTACATTACAAGAGATTCATTCATTTTACATTTTGCCTTCTTCCAGGCAGATTTGAAATTTCACTTCTTCACGTCGTAAAGTGTCTCGGAAGCACAGCATATAGCGTACGTATGTATGCATGCATGCTTTTTTATACTCGTTTGTGACCATATATTGGGGGGTGAGAACCACATGAGATTGAAAATACGAGCGGTACCTCATATGCTCTGGTTAAGTTGCCAAGCATGTATCTGGACAAACAGAAAAATAAGCAGGGAAAGTTCCTAACACAAGTGTGTCTGCAAAATCACAGTCAATAAAGAACACACTGCCATGTAATAAAGACAGCACTGTGCGCTGCCTTTATTGCAAATGTGGCCATATGGAAACAAAGTGTGTGCTTTTGTTCAAGCGTCCAAAGGCTTTTAAAGGAGAAAGAAAACCATCCTTTAAAAACTGTGCTCTAAAAATAATTCTGAGGAAAATGTAACTGTGGAATAAAATCACCACCCAAACAGCTTATAGGTTCATTAGCACTTCTGTTTCACAGGTGAAATGCCACAAGCAAAGACATGGGAAACAACAAGAGCTGTTATCTTCGTCAGTTTAGGGGAGGATCCAGTGTCTGCTGTGGTTTAGAAGCCTTCTAAGTACGGGGGAAACTGGTGATGTGCACAGCACACAGAGCAGAAACAGCAGTGCTCGGTTACCACAGGAGGAGAAACTACAGCAGGGGGAAAACATGGTAGGTGTTCTCAATAAGCACCCAGTATATGGTGGATTGAATAAAATAATTGAGGGTAGTGATCCCAGTGGGACTCGAGCCAAAAGGGTGAAAGGAAGGGAGCAGGAGGGCGGCTGCACATCCCAGTCGTGATTCAGGAAGTCCTGGAATCTTTCCTGACCCTCGAGGTCGGAATTTCTGACTGCTTCGACTCAGAATAGGAAACTGTATCCTGACTGCCTGCTTCTTTTTATAGAGTAAACTTTATTGCCAACTTCCTTTGGAGCACAAGATTATTCCTTACAGTCCTTGAGCAGCACGCTGATCATAGGACACAAGTGCAAGATCTCTGTTCCCCAAACATAACACAGGCTTTATTCAAAATGAAAACAATAGAACCAAAGCTTGTCTTTATTACCCATCTCAGTAAACACAGTGTGCACTGATGGGTTTTAAAAACAGCTGGCTAATCTTTCTCCTCCTCCTTCTTCCCCTTTAAACTTGGCCAACATGAAAGGATAGCGATATGGTCCAAGAAATGCTTGCCAGGATTAGAGGCTAAATGGGAGATTTCTGTGTAATGCAGTAACAGGCTGCGGATGGGAAAGATCCCAGAGATCTCCACTGATCTCATTGCAGGGGAGATGGGTTGACCAGGGGTACTGGGCAACTCAGAGCTGACCGGGGGCACTGGAACTGACAACTTTGCAAACAACAGAAAATGTCTTCTGTGATGTGTTGTAGCTTTCATGTCAGTTACGCCTTCAAAAGGGTAAAGCATAGAACACTC